CGATACATGCTACTTCCATCCTCAGGGCTGAATATTCAAGATGAACACTCTTCCTCAAAATCATCACAACATAGTGTCATAACACAGACATCATCATGTGAGCAAATGTATTTGATAACTGGTGAAAATATCAGAGAGTATGGGCCATTGTAGTTGAAAATTTTTTAAAATAAATAAAACACAATAATGATTAAATATATTAGAAACAAAATATAAAATTGATGCAGTAAATATTGTAATGTAAATATTGCAGTAAATATATTTACCTTTTTGCCTGGTATGAAGTTCTCCTCACATGGTGATTTGCTGTNAAACACCATAATAATTAAATATATTAGAGAAAAATATGAAGTTGATGTAGTGAATATTGTGTGTGAAGGCAAACTTCACCTTTTTGTCTGGTATGAAGTTCTCCTCACATGGTGATTTGCTGTGATCCAAAACAAGACCTCTTTTGATCATGTCCACAATTAACTCCTCATAACTGTTCTTGTTTATGCTGTAAATACATAAAATAAATATGAAACAATTCAAAATAAATATGAAGTGTTTATCACATGAAAATCAAAAGAAAATTCATTACCTAATTTCCTCACTAGAATTTTAATTCTACTGCAAACTGATATAACTTCTCTAAAGTAAAATATCTTTGATTGTGCATCATTATCATGCTCAATATGATTTAGAGACACAAATAAATTTTTGCTTTTGTAAAATCTGGTATTACATTGTGTAACCTATGAAGGATTATCACTAGGAACACTATACTGGAGACCTTACTGATCACACATGACATTTCTTCTGTAAGCTTGTTTTCTGCATTCCAAAAGAATTTTACAGAGAATCTAGTACTATACAAGGTGAAAATAAAGACTGGTACAAAGAATAACCAATAAAGTTACAATGATATCATAGCCATATATTTCAGACTTTAAGTCATATATTCTCCTATGTGATAATTATAGGTCAAATATCCTTGTTGCTTGTATTTACTTATGCAACTAGAGATATACATATATGTTCTGGCTGAGGAGGTAGTTTCAATTGCATTTCAAGGAATGTTAGGATTATGTGACTGTACCAAACTTGACAGAATATCATTAATCAGTTAATTACTGTAGATACATACATATATATGACACTCATGCATTTCACTGTGAAACCCTTGGGTTTTTAGCTCAGGATATTTTTTCAATAAATGCCCTCTTTTTTAATTATTAAAGGAGGCTTTGTTTTTCATTTGAACTGTTTAGTTCATACAAGCAAAAGTAACCCATTCATGGTCCAGGATATGGTAACTTTTCTTGTCAATGTCACAATATATAGCACCCAAAATTACGCAGAAGGGATAACAGTCCAATAACACAAACATATGATGAACACGCTTCATATCTTAATGAAGCATACTCATCAGATTAAAACTGAGTATGAGGATTCCAGTTTTATCCAAAAGTTTATTCACCCCTGTACATTGCTTTTATATTTGTAGCCATTCAACATACTGGTACAAATGCAGGGTACATTTCTTAATAGCTTTCTGTGTTATGTATTAGAATTTGTTATAAGAAACAGACAAGAAAGTTACAATTTCATCTGTTACATTAATGAACTGGATGGGATTTAATAAAAATTGACTACAGTAAGCATGTCATTCACCTAGATTTCAATGTCCTACATGAACAAGTTTTGAGTCACTGATAATCTTACATGGTGGGGGGGTCACTGTTCAATCAGACAAACAGAATTTAATGTAACTGTTATTTGGACTAAATTTATAAAGTCTTAGCAGTGTTCTGGTTAAGATGAACTGAGGCATTCCTTTACACGTGAATGTCTATAACTCTTGCTTCATAGTAACTAAAATGCTTTGTTACACAGTGACAAAAAGTATGAATATTAATTTGTTTCCATAAATTATAGAGGAATGTCAACTGAATTAAGAATAATATGCATTACCTGTCAACATGTTTCAGCTTCACATATGGCAAGGTATTGAAAGAATGTTTCTTAAAGTAGACGTCTTGGAAGTAGGAATTCATGTTCAGACCTGAAGCACCGAAATGGTACGTCCGAGACACGTCTGGAATCACACACTCTCTGCCCTTCCGAACCTCAGGTAGCCGCATCCACATATCCCAGTCCCACATCTGGACATGCAACACAAAACACAATTCTTACACTGGCATTATGATCAAGAAAGTTATTTGATTCAAAAATGTAATCCAGGTAACTGAGATCAAATTATAGTAATATAAAAAAGCTAAAATTTTACCTCACTAAAATATTAATAGCGGTTCTGGGAAGAATTTATAGCACTTTCTTAATTTAAGTATGATATAATTATCACGAGTGACCAGTTAATTACAAATAATTCCAAGCCTCAAACTGTTGAACCTGCATTCACCAGTTGATAAGAGGTCCACATCCAAACAACAACAGAAGTAACAATGAAGACAACAAAAATGACAACTAATACAATAAAAAGCAACACAAAGAATTACAACAATGAGAGCATAAAAGAATATGCTTCATGAAGTCCAGAAGCTTGAGGACTTCTGGGCTACAAATTGGTATCAACTTCTTGGGAAGAAATCAGTACCTTGCATTTTCACTTAGATTCCCCACAGATGCTGATACCTATGTACTGAATGATATAGTGTCATAACCCAGAGATCCGCAATCTTCGTATTTACCTCTTTCGAGAACTCCAAGCTCATATGCATATAGCAAAGGTTTCCCTTATCCTTAACTGAAACCTACTTTGAATCATATGTAAAGGTTCAAGCCTATGCCTCATCCCCTTTGATATAGTCCAGTTAAAGTTCCACTAATTCTACAGTACCAAAATGTACTAAACCTTTTCAGGTGTTGGCCATTTGGATTCCAGCTCATCTTTATAGAGAGATCTTTTAAGGATCCATCCGAGCCCTGGCATGGTTTCCACTCTGTATAACAAGCTTGGATCACTGCTGGTGTGCTCATAACCCTGGTCATTCCAGGCAGAGATGCAGTAAAGTGTCTCGTCCTCCTCCAGCAGTCTCTTAGTCTGGCTGAAGTAACTGCAATGTACACACTGTACCAACATTTGTATTAATCTGCCTACACATTTGGCAAACATTCCAGTCCTTGGATTAAAATAAAGTGATTTGATGGAGCAAAGTCCTTGATCTGGCCGTGAAATGACGTCAACTTCTCTAACTTCTGTATTCATTCCAGTACTCATAAGATTTTGCAGCTGGACCTTACCATGACCTACCTGAATCAAGTGTACAACCTCAAACCTTCATTTTCAATTGTATGTTCCCTGTATAGGTCTCCCAAGTGATGTCTCTCTGTTACTATATTTGAATGCATTCATCCCTCTCACTGGGCTACATGCCCAGCCTATTTTATTCTCCTTGATCTGACTCACACAGGTTGAAACTGTTCATGGTTTAGTCTGGATAGGAGACAAATGATCACTACAAAACTGTATACAATCATACAGACTTTAAGTGTACAGATGTAGTGAGTTCTACAAAATGTTTCAGTCACTGAATGACCACTATCAGATGGATACTGGAGAGTAATCAGGAGTTTACTGTAGTGACAGCATTTTCATTTTCTACACAGTCATTACCCATTTCACTAGGTACCAAAACCTGTAACAGTTCTCACCTGAAGAAGTCTGGAGACACATCCAAATCTTCTTCCACAATAATTACATATTTGGCATTGGGAAATATGTTGAATGTTGCTGTGAGAGAAGCCTTGTAGTGCTGAGATATTCTGGCATTCTTAACTCCAATTGGTGTGTGCTGAATTCCTCGCAGTCCAAAGAGTTTTGTCACCTCAAGAGGTTCCTCAAAGTAGCCATCAATGAAGACTGTTATCATCTCTGGATTTGCTCCATGTGCAGAGAGAAGAGACCTCAGCATCCTGCACAGACCATAATGCACTGAGAATTACATCAGAGTATTTATAAATCTGATGCTCTTAGGAGTGCATGGGGGAAGAATGAAAGTGTAAATTAATCAAACATAGAGACAATCCTACCAGCTTTTCTGATAGATTAGGTTCTGTTTTACAGTCAAGGCACCTGAAACTCAGTGCTTTAGTACTACCTGTACAGGTAATGAGGCCTGTTGCTTGCAATGACAGCCACTGGTACATCATGAACCTTATTATTCACCAGCTAAACAAAAGAAAAAGAAGAAATTAATTATCAGTATTTTGTTATTAATTTATTGCAAAATTACAGGGGATAAAATGTTATATGAAATGACTTGTGAAATACACTTGCAAAAAACAGTATGTTGGTTAAGAGGGATACAGGAAATGTAGGTACATGCATTATGAGCTCTTATGACACTAAATTTCTTGGCTTGACTATTGAGAGATCCTTGACTTGGGAAAGACATATTGAAGAGGTTATAAATAAATTAAGCTCAGTCTGCTACATGATAAGGAACATAAAACCACTTATGCCTATAAATACCTTGAAAGTTATTTATTATTCTTACTTCCATTCAGTCATGACTTATGGCTTGATTCACTGGGGAAACTCATCACATGCTGAAACGGTTTTTGAGATGCAGAAGAGAGTTACATGACTGAGGATAGGTTGTAGTTACGGGGAATCATGTAGAGATATCGTCAAGGAAATAAATATACTGCCTTTAAAATCACAGTATATATATTTGCTAATGATGTTTGTAATAAAAAACAGAGATATATTTGTTTCAAATAAGGATTATTATGAAGTAAAAACCAGACAAAATATTAATTTACATATAAACCAGGTTAACTTGGCCATATATGGTAAAGGAGTATATCACATGGCAGTAAAGGTTTTTAATGGACTTCCTTATAACCTCAAAGAAATCTCTAATAATCAAAAAAAGTTCAAAGTTAATTTAAAGGACTTTCTGTATTCAAATTCTTTCTATACAATGGAGGAATTATTTAAAAGATGATTGTATTATATCTGTAAAAATTGAGTATTACTGATTATATTGTTATATAGGGATGATTTTACGCACATGTATATATCTATATTTGATGGAATTTATTTGTAGTTATTGCTTTGCTGCTATTTACTATGTTTTTATTACTAGAGTGCTATTATGTTCATAATACAATAACTTAAGAATTGGTTTAGTTATATTAAATAATGTGCAAGTTTATGCTTACTTTATTATGTACTTACTGATGTGTATGACTGTATCTATGTTGTACTGCTTTATTTGTGACTATTTCCACATCCTATGAAATTGTTTTCTATCTGGATTTATGGAAAATGAATAAACGAATGAATGAATTACTGACAACAATGGAATTAAAGTAAATGTTTCTTATTTCCCTTAATTGCACTATCATAGCTACCTAAATTATTTTTGGGTTTGTAAGGAATTCTTAATACTAATAAATTTTAAGTAATGAAGTGTCACAATGGAATTCATCATATTCCTTGACATCTTGAAATCTTGAAAAATTTGAAATATGAAATAATTCTGATTCAGCACACAAACTGAGTGCAAATATTTGGACTTCCAAAACTATAAAAAAATTACAAATCACATAAATGAAGAAAAAGGGGAAGGATCATTGAAGAAACAACTGGATGAAGGAAACCAGAACCATGATGTGGTGGTGGCAGTGGTGGTGGTGGTGGTGGTGGTGGGAGATATCTATAAAGTGAAGTATACTGAACTCTTTCAATGGAAATTGTAGGCATGATGACACAATAATTATTAATCTAAAAAACAACATATATTTTGTTGCTACTCACTGGTTCAGGGTTAAACAACAATGGCGCAGGATCCGTGCAGCTGCAGACGCTGCCATAACCCTCGATATGGTTACAAAACTCTCTTCTTCGCCGGTTCTCATCTGTATCCGCCCAATCACACTCACTTTCTGTAATGATATATGTTTACATTTGCATGTCTTATTAATTATCCATACAGATTACAAAAAAATTACCAATAATATGGGTCTCCATAGTAACAGCATACAATAGTACCAAGTAGTAAGTAGTAGAACTTAAGGAGCAGTGATAGGTAACAGTACAAACTAGTGGTAATTAGTTTTAAGCACAGATAGGCAGGCCTGACCTCCAGGTAAACCTATCTTTCTTACTTTTTGCTGAACACCTGAACATGGTTCTACCTTCAATGGGCATGAGCGGTATTTCTGTACGAAGCACTACAGGAGCTCCCCAGGTGTTGAACTCAGTACTCTTGCTGTAAGACTCTCCGAACATCTTGGCACCTTTCTGTGTTAACATGGCCCACATGTCTCTCCATCCAATTATCTGGGCTCGCTTTGAACCCAGTCTCTTCAGGAGGTCTCTGGCTGGCTGTTTCATCTGGAATGTTCCTTCATCCTGCAAATCAGCTACAGTTACCGTCACAGAAATCCAGAACAAACGACACTGAGACAGCTTACATTCAGAGGACTATATTTCTGAACATCTTAATATGTACTGAGGGATTTAAAATTGTTTGAGTGTGTCATATCTGTCAAGCTCCAGACATTTCAGATGTCAGAAATATTAATGTTACAGTAATAACTTTACAGTTCGTTTCTGTACAACATACGTGCTGTCTATTATGTTATGTAATTTAGAAATAAATTATCTGCTGACATAACACAAAGTACGCAGGTCTATGAGAGACCAACTGAGGTGAAAATGGTTTGATTAACTGTACACATGATGGGATGAATTAAATTAGTTAATATTTTAATCAAGAATGACAAGATTGGTGCACAGGTAATAATTCTGATGCATTTGTATTCTTTAATTTAAATATCTCCAAAACAATAAGATTTATTGAACATGTACGCCTGTTTAGCACAAATTATAAAAATAAACTAAATTTATATGAGTAACACTGCATAATGAGGAGCTTCATAACTTGTACTCTTTTCCAAGTATAATTAGAGTGATCAACTCAAGGAGGATGGCGTGAGCAGGGCATGTAGTACGAATGATGGACAAGAGGAATACAAGAAAGATACTGGTGGCAAAGCAGAAGGAAAGAGACCAATTCAAAGACCAAGGTGTAGGTGTGTGGATAATATTATAGTGGATCTTAGAGAGATAGGATAGGGTGCTATGGACTGGGTTGATCTGGCTCAGGATAGGGACCAGTGTAGGGCTCTTGTGAACAAGGTAATGAACCTTAGCGTTGCATAAAATATAGGGAAATTCTTGAGTAGCTGCACAACTGGCAGCTTCTCAAGAAGGGCTCAGCTTCATGGAGTTAGTTTAATGAAACATTACTGGAGATCCTCAGAAATCAACCTTCATTTGTCTCACAACTGTTACTGCGTACCTTTATGGCGAATATGACGACTCTGCCATCAGAAACCATGTTCAGGAAGAGTGACATGGCTTCGTCTTCGTGTGGCGAGTACGTATCGAACTTACGCTGTGCCATCACACTCCCACTAGCCTGGTTCAGCACAATCACGTGGATCCCTCGCCCCTTGTGGTCTTCTCCAGCCTCCAGGATCTAGCAAGCTACACTAACATTAAATTTCTCTCATCTCAGCTCACTAGTCTTATTGAAGTAATTACATTACAAGAAAATTACTAAACAAATGGACGAATTATTAAAAAAAAAAGGTAAAGTTGTCCCTGTGCTCTACTAATTAAGCACTATGCATTTGAGGGGGAATGGATGTAGAAACCCACATTTTCTTGACCTCCGCAGCAGTTGGAAGTGAGTGGTCAGCTTCACGCTTCAGTCGCTTTAACCCCGGAAAAAGAATCCCCGGTATCCATTGGATAGGGGGCTGAGTAGGCCCCAAAGTCGGTCTGGACGACATGGAGAAGTGAAAATTCTTGCCCCCACAGAGACTCGAAAACAGCGTAGAGTGTGGAAATCAGCGATGGCGCTGTAATTAAATGTAGTTACGAGTTTTGTGTTAAAGTGGTCAATAAATCCAATCTCCAATCCAAACCCCGTCGAGAGGACGCATTCCGTATTACGTGACAATATACAGAGTGTTCAATCAAGGAGGAAACTTCGCAACACCGCTGACCGGGCCCAATATTCCTCACAGATTGCTGCTGTAACTGTAACGGCGCGCGTTTATCAGCGCTAATGACTCATTCTGCTATCAGCAGTTACAGCAGCAATCTGTGAGGAATGTTGGGCCGGGAAAGCGGTGTTGCGAAGTTTCCTCCTTAACTGAACGCACTGTATTACAGTTGTACTCCTAAAATATTGTCACGTGTAGGGAATTACGCGTGACGAAAATAACGGGTTCCAGTTCGGATGACAGGATTTATTAGCACCCTGGTTACATGTTCTCTTAATCACACTTAAATACAGCGTCATTTTCCAGTTCGCCGTTGCACGCGCACAATGATTGTCTGTATTCATGAGTCGTCTCCTGGCAACGTATCTCAACACAGAAACTAGCGCTTGAAATCACCATAAAGTCTTCTTGCCACTTCTTATTCAATCATCCTGGAAACTGGGAACTCAACTAAAAACTCTCGCCGACCCCTCACTAATCTAAGTCAAGTTCAAAGTCAAATTCAAAGTTACTTTACAACTGGTGGTTTACCACCAATCAGTTCGTCTTGGCGTCATGCCCCTTGAGGACCACGACCAGAGATTTTTCCAACTGAACTCTTGCTGAAATAGTCCTTATGTAACATCCTCTTTGAGGAGAAGACACTAATCTAAACTACAACACGTCTTCGTTATATAGGCTCCGCACAGACAACACGGTCACGTGATTGTTAGCCAGCGACTTCATTGGTGCGCTGTTGCCTGGTAACGAGCAAAAACATTCATCCACTGAGACACGACTTCCATTGTTGCATGTTGGAACGTGTTTACCGAGCCGTTGCCTAAAAACTTTTTGAGCAAATCCGTTACAATATTATCATGCATTTTTGGTTGTGTGACTATTAGACGGGGTTTGGATTGGATGATTGAATTTATTGCACTTATACACTGAACTCGTAACTACAAGTAAGTATAATATTACTGCTGATTTCCACACTAAGTGTTCTCAGTCTGCCTTCGCCAGTTCTTACCTGGTAACAGCTATTCCTCTGTAATATTTTCACTAGATGTTTCCTGGTAAGTGTAATTAATTCAATCAACCAAACCCCGTGTAACAGTCACGATATTGTTGTATTGTATTGCGACCATCTTGCAATAGCTTGTCCAGTATGGCGGGACAGGTTGCTGCCCTGAGGTGGCGACTTACCGTTGTGCCATCCACCGACACGGATACTTTTGACTGGCTGGAGACAACTTCAATACCAAGAGACTTGGGTTGACTTTCTTGGAGTCTGAGACTGTTTCGCCTGCTCTCACCATCAATGAGCTCACCACCGCCCCCTGGAAAGTTCGGATGGTTTATGTTTGCTTTAGTTCCGGATTAGAAACATGAGATGGCAGGAATATCAATATTTGCTTCAACCAAGTTGAAAATTATACACCCTTTTCGTCTGCAATATCCGCGTCCTACATCCAGGGCTGAATGCAGAGACAGATGCGCGTGGCAACCGTCAACTTAGTTCCTGAGGAAGCTATTTCTAGGGCCTTAACTGCCGTTCCCCAACAACGACACATGTAGCGAATTCCCGAGCCCACAATGCGATGATCTTTCAGAAGCTGTTGGTCATTTCTTGGGCTTTTCTTTTGAATTCGAGTGACTACAGACTCTGAAATGGATTTTCTAAGTAATTCTGTATTGAGAGTCTACATAGCTCTGAACTGCAGTCTCTACGTAGTTTTAAATTGTAGCGTCTACCTAGTTCTACATTTGAGCGTCTACATACTCCTAAACTGGTGTGTCTACACAGTTCTGAACTCCAGTTTCTATGTAGTTTTGAACTAGAGCGTCTATATACTCGTATTTCTGAGCTGGTGTGTCTACATAGTTCTGAACTGCAGTCTCTATGTACGGTTCAAATTGTAGCGTCTACCTAGTTCTACATTTGAGCGTCTACATACTCCTAAACTGGTGTGTCTACACAGTTCTGAACTCCAGTTTCTATGTAGTTTTGAACTAGAGCGTCTATATACTCGTATTTCTGAGTTGATGTGTCTACATAGTTCTGAACTGCAGTCTCTACGTAGGTTTAAATTGTAGCGTCTATCTAGTTCTACATTTGAGCGTCTACATACTTCTGAACTGGTGTGTCTACATAGTTCTGAACTGCAGTTTCTATGTAGTTTTGAACTTAAGCGACTACCTAGTTCTGAACTGAAGTTTTATCCAGTTATAAACTAGAAAGTCCACGTAGCTCTGAAAGGCAATTTCGGCCCCTGCCTCTATCTTACGTATAATTTCGGCTTTCGGGATTTAGTTTCGTCGTATATTGAAGTTGCCTCAATGTTTCGGTATATATTGTAGCCGCCTTCTTCAGGATGAATTAGGGGATTAGAAAGATGCGGCCGGATTATAGTCATGCAATACAATTAAGAGTGAGTGTGGACTGTCGTGCTATCCAATGAGATTCTTATTGTAGCTGCAAAACGTATCACAAGTCTCCACCCCTTTTCATTGGATGGCACCACAATCCACGCCCCTTGTCGTTACTTCCAATGATTATTTATATAGACTAATCCTGTAACACGTACCATTAATGATGAGTGCTGGATCACAATATTTTGGACTGCCTGAAATCATGGATTCATGAATGTTGCATCTGCAATATTGCAATATGTATTAATCGTTGTAAAATAAAAACGGGATTTTAAAATCTGAAAATACTTCTCATTTCTTTTGGACTCATTTCAGTCTCCAAGACATTATAATCAGCTCAGAGCTACACTTTCATTTTGCTACCTTACGTAACAAGCACTTCAATCAGGTAAGCGCCTGGAATGACTAGGTTTTTGGACTTTTCCCATCGTCCAGTATTCCAGAGAATAGAAAACACTCCAGTGATTGAAATCAACTCTTTCTAAGGGACCTCTCCCCTTCACCCGAGGACGGAAACAGATCCAGTTTCCGAAACGTCGTGTTTTCTATTCTCTAGAATATCGGACGATGTAAAAAGTCCATAAACCTAGTAATTCTGCGTGTTATACAGCATCGTCAGAACCCTTTAGAAGCACCTATCTGGTTAACTCTCTATAATCTAGACAGGCTCGGGCACTGCTTATTATCACGGAGGCTTCTCTGGTTTTTCTCAGTCCTTCCAAACAAATGCTGGGATAGTACCTCGTTTATTCCACGACTGTTTACATCTAAATCCTTTCTAAGTCACCATTCATTACTCATCTTAAAATTAGATGCTATACGATTTTGATACTGACAGTGACGTAATGCAAACCACAAGACAAGCTTGTGCTAAGAGGGCTTCCACGAGAGGGGCTAATTACTTCATTATTACCTGTCAAGGGCATTTCTTTCTGAAGACGTCGGCTCGTATTGAGGATGAATAATACATTGATGCCAATTGTAATGAGCAGTACCACAACCAACAGTGCCTGCCGCAAACAAACATCACTGTTAGTGTGACTAATTTACGTGGTATATATAACAATAAAGGTAAATAATGTACGTTTAAATCCACTGAACACTTCTTGCAAGTTAACAACCCCTGGGAAGATTTTGAAATTCTGGACCTTTCATAGAACACAAAGTTTCGTTATCATAAATATGGCCTAAAAGTTAACTCTCGCTGATGGTCTATCCTGTGCTTGGTTTGTATATCCTATCATCTGTTGGTGCTGATCTCCGGAGACAGGGACTAGCTCTATTGATTGGGCCAAACTGAGTAGGTTTTACCTCAAGACGGAGACAGAATTCAATCTCCGGAGATAGAGACTGGCTCTATCGATTGGGCCAAACTGAGTAGGTTTTGCCTCAAGACGGAGACAGAATCCAGTCTCAGAAATGTTGTGTTTTAAATAAATAAAAAAAAAACAGGACGATGGATAATGTCTAGGAACACAACAATTGTTCATTATCGTGTTGGCAAAAGCCTACCACTCGATCTAATGTAAGCAGAGTAACAAACTTCTGCACCAACAGTTAACAGTATTGGTGGCTGTCGTTGAGGAAACTGCATAATGAGGAGCTTCATGACTTGTACTCTTCTCCAAGTATAATTAGAATGGTCAAGTCAAGGAGGATGAGATGTGCAGGGCATGTAGCAAGAATGGGGAAGAAGAGGAATGCATATAGGGTATCAATGTGAAAGCCAGAACGAAAGAGACCACTAGTAAGATCAAGACGTAGGTGGGTGGACAATATTAAAATGGACCTTAGAGAGATAGGATGGGGTGACATGTACTGGATTGATGTGTTTCAGGATAGCGACTAGTGGAGGGCTCTCGCGAACACGGTAATGAACCGCCGGGTTCCATAAATTACTGGGAAGCTCTTGAGTGGCTGCACAGCTGGCGGTTACATTTATCACCCGATCAAACACAAAGATAACTCTGCGTTTTTACCCAAAGATTGTATTTATATATTTCGCATGCTTTTCAGAATAAACAGCAAAACTTCCTCTCTAAATTGAACTGAAGAGTAAATTTTTATAATAATGACGCAGCGCAGGTCTGAATTTTTAAGTACCATTTAAAAAAAATTGTCATTGAATGCATAAGAAACAACAGAAGATACTGTGACAAGGAAATGAGGAGACAAGACACGTGTCCAAGAGGATGACAGAAGCATGCAGACATAAAAAGAGTAAACACAGGAAGAAGAAGAAGAGAGAGATAATAAACAAATACACGTAAACGAGGCCAGAATTTGTACATTTAAGCCCATTAACATGCGTGGTGAAAGATGATAACTCAATGACACTAATAACCAGGGCCCGGATTTTGATGACCTGAAAATATTTAAAAAATGATCTATAAAATGACCGAAAAAATCCAGAAAAATTATCTAAAATATGACCTAAAAATGTAATATGCAGGGCCCGGATTTTGATGACCTGAAAATATTAAAATAATGACCAATAAAATAACCGAAAAATCCAGAAAAATGACCTAAACGAGAAAAGAAAAAACACTTCGTTTCCATGTTATTCACATTTCAGAAAACATATGAAGAAAAATTCCCTAAAATGGCCAAAAATGACAAGAAATACCCTTAAAAGTCCAATAATTTACCAAAAAATTGCCCCCAAAATGAAAAAATGACCTTAAACCTAAAAATGTCAAAAAATGACAAAAATTAACTATAAAATTTACATTTCTGTAACCAGCAGCTCATATCCGAGATTTATATATTTAAGAGCATCGCATAGGATACAAGGAAAAAAAGATGACATATCATCAAAATCCGGGCCCTGCTAATAACTAAATAACATTTCGCGCAATTTCTGACTGGCAAAGAAGCAGGAGGAGCTATTCATGTTGGTCCCAGTATTGGCGCCTCATGAGTCATGACAACTGCAGCTGGTCTCCCTTCGTGTTTATAAGGCTCTTACCTGAAATATTCTTGACAGGACTCTTCTTCTGCTCGGAGGACGTGTTGTGAGCGCCTTTGAACTACAAAATTCGCCCTTATGGGCGAACGGTTGACAGTGAGGATTTCGGTTCCCATTTTCCATGGCTGTATCACATTTACATCAACATCATATCTCCCAGGCTCCTGTTCTGACAAGAAATAAATCCTCAAGATCTCTAGTTTATATTCCGTCTTAAACAAATAATAATTACACTTCGAAAAAAATTATCAGCACTCACAGAATTGAAAGAACACATTAAAACTAAAGACTGGACGATCGTTCGTGACTTACATTGGAGATTTACTAGTTCGGTAATGTTAACGAACTACGTAAACGCGATAAAATTCTCTTTGAGAAACTACGAACTGTTCAGCTGCTCAAAAAATTCCCGCATTTTGTGGAACCCGAAAGTCCGTTACCATATTCACAAAACCCCGCCAGCAATCCCTATAGTGAGCCACATGAATCAAGTTCACACTTTCCAATACTACGTAGGTAAGTCAAAAATTATCCGCACTCTTGTGTTTCCAATCCATATACAGAAAAGTAGGGGTTGAACAAGTACTTCATTTTTCTACATAGTCCCCTCCATTTTCGATGCACTTGGTCCAGCGGTCCAAAAGCTTGCGTATTCCCTCCACGAAGAAGGCTTTCATTTGGTCGCGTAACCGTTTATGCACCGCTTCCCCCACTTCTTTGTCCGTACAAAACCAAAAACCTCGTAAAACATCTTTGAGCGGTCCAAAGAGATGATAGTCGGAAAGGGCGAGATCTGGGCTGTAGGCAGGGTGTTCCAGCACCTCGAAACGGTCTGGCCGTCCTTGTGTGAGTGTTCATTGTCATGCAACAACAACACTTTCTTCGACAATAGGCCTCGGCGTTTCGTGCGAATTGCTGGCTTCAGATTGTTGGCCAGCAAATCACTGTATCTTGCACTGTTGATCGTACACCCTGTTTCCAGGTAGTCTTCCAGTATAGGCCTTTTTGAGTCCCAAAAAACTGTTAGCATCACCTTTCCCGCGAAAGATTGAGTCTTGAATTTCATCTTCGTTTGCGATCCCGGGTGTTTCCATGCCATACTCTGGCTTCTGGATTCTGGCTCATAGTGATGAACCCACCGATGAATTTCAGCCCCTGACACACCTTCCAATCAGAGAAATCGGATCACTATTCTTTGTTAATCATTGGTGCACACTGCTAGCAGAGCGGCCATGTTTACACTGTCACAGCATCAAGGAAAATGACGCCATCAAGGTAAAACTTCGATCACGTGACCACAGTAGTACCAACTCTAACAATGGATGCGTAGGAGGCAGTGTGACAAACCTAAATATGTGTTATGGAGAAAGTGCGGATAATTTCTGACTTACCCTCGTATTTCCATAATATTTCGATTTGATTCATCTGGCTCTGGAGAAAATCCAATCGCTTTTCTTGTGAACATTGTTAAGAATCCCGAAATTGTATGAAGGACGGAGATATTTATTGCCTAGCTGAGCGACTAACTTTCACACGAATAGCTCAATTCCATGCACTTATTTACCATCGTCAGCCATAAACTCGGCCTAATATATCTCTGAGATTACGTCATTATCAGATAGTGTCATAGATCGTTGAACTCCGTGGTTTTAGCCCGCAAGCGAACTATACCGACAGACCGAGGGACCGCCGCTTACCGGCGAAGTTAGTACCAACTTTAGAGGATGGAGGGTGTCGCGTGGTCAGCGCAACGAATCCCCACGGTCGATAATCTCGGTTTTCTAGTCCGGAGCCGCTAGTTCCTTGAAATAGCTCCTCAGTTATCCTCACGAGACTGAGTGGACACCGTCCCAGACTCACTACTTCTCAGAAAATCTGGTAGCGCTGGGAATCGAACCCGGACTTCTGGGTCTGTAGCCAGGAACTCTGACTCGTGGATCGTTAGGTCATCAATGACTGGATTATATTTTCAGCATACGATCTGAACTAAAATCTCCATACCGCAGAATTCTTTGAATACGTGGGACTTTTCTTCCGTAAGGTTGGCTACTGAAGCTATGACGTACCCACAAAGATATTTTAGACGAAGCCTAGCAACAATTTAATATATGGAATAGTGTAATGCTTTCAAGTAAATAAGCTATTTATAGAATATCTATGCTGTCGTTTTGTTGCCTCTATTCTTATGGAGTTCGAAATTAAATGTACTTTTTTTCAACGCGGTTGAATAGCTCGGTCGCGAGACAGGGGCACTCTACACGGTTTCGCACTTAACTCAATAAAAACTGTCATTTGTCTAACTGTGATCCGCAGACATTCAATTATGCAACAAGTTCTAACGTATTCTAAACCATAGGAAAGGATTTCTAAACTTCTCTCCTGCAAATTGAAATTTTAATGGAGGCATGTTGTGATACTATTTGCATAGCTTCTATCTCAGTAGTTTAGCCGCAGTGAACTTGTTCAAATCCAGCTAAAAGACTAGAGAAGCACTGGACTTACACAAAGGGCAATCATTCGTATGGACAAGTAAGTCATTCGTTCATGTAGGGAGACAACTGCTCTAAGCAGCTGTATTATGTTTGATTAACTAATTATCTTCGTGAAGAATGGTCCTTCTTGAGAATATAATTATAGGGTCATTTGGTCAATAAATTTCCTTTCGTCTATGCAAATACAAGAGAACGCCACTGAAGATGGTTACCAGTGACATCTTCATGCGTAAGTTCTTTGAGATTTCGTAATTATGTTCTAATAAGAACATTTATTCTTCCTGTGTTTAATTTACAGATTAGATCTTCTGGCCTGTTCCAATTCAAAATTAAATTGCCAATTTCAAATTCTTCTTAGATTCGATTCCTGATGAGGTCAGTGGATTTTTCAATTGACCTAATCCTTCCAGCCGCACTATGGCCCTGGGGTCGACTCAACCTCTAGCAGAAATAAGTATCAGGAATCTTCCTGGGGGTAAAGGGTGGGCGACGCGTAAGGCTGACAACCTCACTGCCATCTGTGGGCCGATTGTCTAGAAAATGTGGGAGCCTCGACGTCTCACAACCCTACTGGCCTCCACGACCTGTTACAGGGATAGCTTTACCTTCTAAGAAGTTAAGCACAATAGATCACTGTGGTCGCGGTGCAAGAGCCAAGAAGGCCCACCCCTTGTACATTCATTTTAAGAAGTTCTGAAGGTGGTGCCTACGAATATGTACACATATATGTATAACAGAGATCTGTTCATGCAAAAAGAAAGCTTATTCGCTACAGCACTCCTTGGCCCATGTTTTCATACACATTTACAATATCTTTCGGTACAAATAATTTGTGTAAGAGGGCGCCCCACATAAACAGATCTGCAACTGTCTGACAGTAACAAAAAATCTGGTCTTGGGGCCCCAGATGGGGATGTGACACGAAGATAGACTTGCCAACGGAACTTTGAGTTGCTGATTGAGTCAGCTGAGAGTTACGGTTATGGGAACTCAGAAGCTCATAGCTAAGGACGGGAACAGTTACGGAATCCAGAGGGAAAAAAAGCGTCCGCCGTTGGGAGCCGCTACCAAGCAACGGCTAGTGAAGTGATGTTTGGAGTGTGGAACTCAATGTCAGACTGTCGCAGTTATGTGTAGTTATGAGTGTAAGTGCCCTATGAATACACCTACCAATTAGAACCCCGTCTCTAGTCACACCACGATGCAAATAGGGTATTTCAAAGTATATGTCCCATTGGTTTGGTGGGTAGTACCTGATAAGGGCTCGTTCCCAGGGTCCTGTGATTGGTGTACACAGCTCTTTAATCACTGCAGCCAACTTGTCTATGTGAAAGAAACACAGAACAAAAACCTTGGTCCTCCAAGGTAAAGGGTTTTGCAACAGGCTGGCAACTCGTTCAAGTACGAAAAAAGAAGGGTTACTCATAATCCTCGAAGATTTTTGAGGACGGAACAGGCTTACAAGCTAAAGCTTGCAGATGCTCATGTCTTCTTCTATCTGAAAATTAAATCGTACTTAGCGACATCGTCAAGATAAGAGCATGGAATGGTGGAAAAGTTTCGACATCAGAATATTCTAAGCTACGGCTTTTCTCTCGTCTGAGCTAGGGTTGCGTGGAGTAAGCTAATTTCAGTTATGTAGCTGTGCTAATTGTAGACTAGTTAAGTATTCATTAGAGTGAACAGATGTGTGAGCAAAGTGGCAACACTGGAACAGCTGATGCTGCGGCCGGCGATAACTGGAATCTGCACATGTGACGCATATTTATGCTCCATCAAGCGGACATTAGGAATACAAAATCGTTATGGTGCTGCGTGACATTATGGTAACACAGTGCCCCGAATGTACCAGATAATGGACGTAGCAGGCGTATTAATTCTGTGATTTAGCACCATATAGTTCAGAGAGAGCCTTGAAGTTTCGGAGAAATATATCGCTTCCATCTTCAGGGTCGACAGAAGAATGCAGTAAGCTGACAACTCAAAAAGGCTAAAAGACAGTCAAAATCTCCTTATTATGGGTTTAATTTTTGTACTTAGCTCAAAGAACTCATAAACGTAAAACGTTTTTGCAATTTTCTTATGTAAATTTATGAGATATTTTAAGGCCCTGTTAAAACTCAGGCGGTTAGTTCCCGGCTTCCCAGCATGGAGGTCCGGTTTCGATTTCAGGTCAAGCCATAAGGGATTCTGTGGTGGATAAATTGGGACTGGGGCTGTTTTTTCGAGTACTGCGGTTTCCCCCGCCAATTTTTATTTTACCAAATGCTTCAAATTCAGTAACCCAACAAATGGACGGCGAGTCGAAGAGAAATATTCTCACCCCGCTCTGTAAGAGGCTAAAGGAATATGGAACTGGCCTCTGGCCTGTTTCAATTCATAATTAATCATTAAAATATTAATATTTTAGATATTTGGTACGATTCACTGGACAGTGGATTGGTGCAACACAAGGCATACATCTACGCCGGACACAACAGAGGCGGAATAGAAACAGACCCTGACCAATGTGGGATTTGAACCCTAGATCCTAACATTCGGGCAGCCCGAGAAAATACACGCCTCAGACAGCGCGGGTCGTATATGGTCTTGTAAAATGTAAATATATCCGTGTAACAGGCGGTGGATGCCCATAGGGTTGTGAGACGTCGAGGCTTCCATATTTTCTCTAG